CCATGTTTCATGAATGAGATCAAAGATGATATTTGTAAGAGTTGCCAGTTATCTTTTTTTTAATTTCAAAATTCAAGTTCAAATTAAATGTTACAATTGCGCATTATTTACTGATTTAGAAATCGTTTAAAAACACATATTTTCTTTAATTGAACAAAGTATTCAGACATACTGTGCCATGGTTTGGCAACTCCATGAAAATGTCAATTTATCTATTGAACTATCCTACGGTATTGGCGATATTTTTTTTTACTACTTTTCCATGAACTTGAGATTACTATAATTATAATTGTAATCTCAGCATGAACTGACAAATCCTTTCAGCATATTTTCAAATTGGGTTTAAAGATAAAAAGAGTATCATTTTAATAATACAAAGATTGTATTGCTAACGAAGAAAGTCAACTGACATAAAATAATTTAAACATTCAATGAGGAGATCAAGAAAGACGGGATGTTCCATACTTCCTGTTTTAATAGTACAACAATTATCATGTTACATAATTTTTTACTTTATGAGCATTATTACTTTTATAGTTTTTTTTTTTAGTTTTTTATAAAGTATTACTTTCAAATTCATTGTGATTTTTTATGTCAAGATTTTTATCTCTAGTTTTAAAATTTTAATGAAAATCTCGAGGACCGCATGATATCACAACTCCCAGCTGCTGTTGGACTGTTTAATATCGTCAGTCAGGTTGTCATTGACAGGACCTTGACCGCACCTAAACTAACATGAATTTCAGCATATATTTCTTAAATTTCCGTTGATAAAAAAAAAATGATTAAGAAAATATGGTTCCAAGTCGATCAGCCCAAAATTGATTTGAGCTGGTTAGGCCTATTTTGTGTCGGTGTCTTTTTGGTCATATACATGTAGTTTATCGCGTATTTTTACATCCCATGCTTTCATATTTTTTTTTCGCGCGTTCCTGATGATGGTTTATCCAGAAAAGCACTTCGAACGCACCAAATTAATAAACTGTATTTGCATTTTATAGCACTAGATGGACACAGCTGCTGGTGGACCGCAAGACTTGAAGTACTCCAGGGTATTGCCATATGATGATCAGCCCAGGTGTCAGTGCTTCGCAACTGACATGATTTATATTTTATATACATTCCTGAATTCTCCATTGATAAATTTAGAAATTACTCAGAAACTATATGCTTAAACTTCCTATGGCAAAGTTAACTTTATATGGATTTGGCTATTTTGTTTTGGACATAAAGCTCTACAAGTATTTAGACATCCTCGTCTTTTTTGTTTTCTTTTTTTTTGTTTTGTGCGTTTCTGATGAAGGTTAATCTAGCAAAGAGCTCCAGACGCACCAAAATTTAGAAAGTCAATCTAATTAAAATATAGATCTCTAATTTCGTTATCCTCATATGAGCTTATATATATATACGAGCATGCGAGTTAATATAGATATAAATTTTAATCAGATTGTTAGAAAGTGCTATTCTCATTTTAGTCAAGTTGTGAATCTCTGGTATTACATACAGTATATTTCCGTCCAACTTACATGTTGAGCATAATTATAGTTACTTTTTATGACATTAAACACCTCAACCGAACATATAATATATTGAAAAATAGCATCGAAATGTATTTGAGGTTTTAGACTAGTGTCTGTCTTCATTGCCGGACACATGTATTGATTCATAAAAATCAAAGCACTGTAAGCGCTGTAGGCAGTTAACCAAAAACCAAGGCAAACGTAATTATGAAAACTGTGGCAATGTTGCTTCAATTTTTTTTTAAGATTTGAAAGAACAAACATTAAACATTCGTATATTGTACATTTATGTTCATTAAATGAATTGATTATTAAGGCAAATTAATTAATATTTCATCAAGGTTTTCAAAAGCAACTCGTATATCAATGTAAATGACTCACATCTTCACCCCCAAGTGCATGATGTTACTCCAAGTTTGGAATAAAATGACAGGTGATTATAAAACAGTTGGTCAATTATTCTCGGGCTTTACACTGGTTGAAAGATTTATATGTTTTCTTTAAAATGAGCCATAAATGAAAATTATTATAGGCCCAGAAATAATTTAATAAACAATTAAAGTAAATTCAATAATCTAGACTCATTTTTTTGATAAAAAAAATTTTATAATTAACAAGAAATAATTGTAACAAGATGCCGTTACGGTCGAAGTCTCCTAAACAAAGCCCCCATAATTCGTCATTCCCATGGTCTCCTGACATTGGGCAAAGTCCAGTTCATATTGGTTTGGTCTAGTAAAGTGATATGCATATGTGACACCAAGGAGATTGACCCTGTATGTCATTCAAATCTTTTTGAAATGATGAACAGGAATAAATATGGTTTAGGTGTTGGTATCTCGACCGTTTACAAGTTCTCAAACAGGAGGGGGTGGGTGACCCCAGGGACTCACCCTATATTTCATTTGATTTGTTATATTGTCCCATACATGAATACATATGGTTTAGAGGTGGAGATCTCGACCATTTCCAAGTTCTCAAACAGGAGGGGGTGAGGTGACCCCCGGGACTCTCCCTATATTTCATTTGATTTGTTATATTGTCCTATACATGAATACATATGGTTTAGGGGTGGGGATCTCGACCATTTCAAAGTTCTCAAACAGGAGGGGGTGGGGTGACCCCAGGGACTCCCCAAATATTTCATTTGATTTGTTATATTGTCCCAAACATGAATATATATGGTTTAGGGGTGGGGATCTTGACTGTTTACAAGTTCTCAAACAAGAGGGGATGGGGTGTCCCCATGGACTCCCCCTATATTTGATTTGATTTGTGTTATTGTCCCATACATGAATATATATGGTTTAGGGGTGGGGATGTCGACCATTTCCAAGTTCTCAAACAGGAGGGGCGTGGTTGTCCCCAGGTACTCCCCCTATATTTCATTTGATTTGTTTTATTGTCCCATACATGAATATATATGGTTTAGGGGTGGGGATCTCAACCATTTCCAAGTTCTCAAACAGGAGGGGTTGGGGTGACCCCAGGGACTCCCAATATATTTCATTTGATTTGTTATATTGTCCTATACATGAATATATATGGTTTAGGGGTGGGGATCTCGACCGTTTACATGTTCTGAAACAGGAGGGGGTGGGGTGACCCCAGGGACTCACTCTATATTTCATTTTTGATTGGTTTTATTGTCCCATACATGAATATATATATTTAGGGGTGGGGATCTTGACCATTTCCAAGTTCTCAAACAGGAGGGGTGGGACGACACTGGGGACTCCCCCAAATTATTTTCATTGATTTCTTTTATTGTCCCATTCAAGTATATATATATTGTTTAGGGGTGGGGATCGCGACGGTTTACAAGATAAAAGTACATTTTCAAATTGAAGGGGGTAAGGATGACCCCCAGGGACTCACCTTATATTTTGGTTGATTTTTTGTATTGTCCTGTTCTCATTACTGAAGACTGCATGTGTCTATCACCTACTGTTTTCGAGAAAAAGTCATTTGAAAATTAAAAAAAATAAAATCCCATAGGGTTCTATAGTAAACCCCTCCCTTCTTCAGGCCCCTCCAAATACCCCTAAATAGACCCCAATGCACAAACAAAAGATAAATGGCTCCGCTAGACATGTTAGTCTAATATTTTATGAAACCCTAAGTAAATCTGACAAACGGTCAAAGTTGTCTTCTTAGACGGTTTGAGTGGATTCGGTCCGACTTGTCTCGGGGACGAGTTGTCCACATTACTTAAAACATCCCATCAACGTCGATTTCTGCATCTGTTTTCCTGACCTCGTTTCATTCATCGTTTCATTCACAAATAACAACAACCTTATTTGGCAAGATAAGTTAGAAATTACCACCCATTTATATAACTTTATTTCCTCTATCATAGAGATTTGTTGTACATGATCAATATTCCTGCGCATTTTGCCATTTGGGAAATATAAACGACTTGTAATTACCGATTTTTGGCAATGAAATATTTCATACAATTGTTCTTTGACATCGTAGCCTAAAGCACAGGGGATAATAAACTACGTACGGATTTCTATTGAGCACTACTTCCTATGTGCAACTTCAAAAGTTTTGGGTAGTTCGACGATCATTTAAGGTTTTTCTGGTCATATTTTTTGTATTCGAGAAATAAAAGTATTAAAAAAATGTCCAATTAGTTATAAATAACATAATAGCCAGCTAGATAATAACATTGGCACGTATTTCAGCATTTATTGGGTAGAACACAAATCTAGGGTGCTCGCATAAGGCAGCTTAACTGCCTAAAAATGAGGAGATGTGGTATGATTGCCAATGAGACAACTTTCATGTGACTCCATCAGAAACCAAGGGACTGAGGATGTAACCAACTACATGTAACCGTACGGCCTTCAAAAATGAGCAAAATCCATACCGCATAGAAAGCTAAAAAAAAGCCCCGGCATAACAAATTGGGAAACAATTCAAAACAAACGGCCAGACTTGTGTCGAAAACTATAAGCGAAAAACAAATAAGACAGACCGAAATGAACAACCACTGAATTGCAGGCTAGGTACACCAAGAATGTGGCGGGGTAAATTTAATGTGTAACCCTCCATCCCCATCTTCCCCTGACCTGGGACAGTTGTGAAACAATCCAACATAAGAACAATTGTAAAAGACAGTCGGAAAGAGTTTTTACTCGTCAGATCGACACGAAACACATTAACTGAAGTATTGGGTACCGATCTAAGAGGACTCACAGTTACTAAAACCTGGTTTTAAGCCAATTTCAATTAATGTTATTTAAACCATGTTTCCAGAGCATAATATCAACCAAAAAGAAACTAAGTACTCACTAGTAATCGGTTGCTATTTTTCAACAAACCGTAAGTCTACAGCCGGATTCGTCTATCTCAACAAATTAATGAAGCATTTTTTATATACATGTATTATAGTGAACTGCCATCTGGCACACCCATAATTTTAAATCGCTTCCGCATAACTACAACAACCTGTTTTATTTATGGTGTATTTAC